ATGGGTGATGCTGAGTGTGACACTGCAGGTGACACCATGGGTGACACTATGGGTGACACAGCGGGTGACGCTGAGGGTGACACTGCGGGTGACACCACAGGTGACACCATTGGTGACACTATGGGTGACACGGCGGGTGACGCTGAGGGTGACACCGCGGGTGACACCACGGGTGACACGGCGGGTGACGCTGAGGGTGACACAGTGGGTGATGCTGAGTGTGACACTGCAGGTGACACCACAGGTGACACCATTGGTGACACCACAGGTGACACGGCGGGTGACACCGCGGGTGACACCACAGGTGACACCGCGGGTGACCCGCGGCGTCACCGATCGCCGCCGCTGTCCCCGCAGACCTGCCGGTGCCGCTGCTGAACGTCTCCGGCACGGCGGTGGCCGGCGCGGCGCTGAGCGGCCGCTGCTCCGTGCCCGCCGGCACCGGCAGCGACGCCCAGGTGCGCGTGAGGGCGCGGGGGCAGGACCTGGGGAAACTGAGGCAGCCGCCGCTGGAGTTCAACGTGGCCGTGCGGGAGGAGGACGCCGAGCTGGGCCTGGAGCTGCTCTGCGTGGCCGAGATGGCGCCGTTCGCGCCGAGGAACCGCTCGCTGCGCGTCCGCGTGCTGGGTGAGGTCCCCGGCTCCTCCTGCTCCTTATCCCGATTTTCCTGGGCCTTATCTGGCTTTTCCGGGTCCTTATCCAGCTCTTCCTGCTCCTTATCCCGATTTTCCTGGTCCTTAGCCGGCTTTTCCGGGTCCTTATCCCGATTTTCCTGGTCCTTATCCGGCTCTTCCTGCTCCTTATCCGGCTTTTCCGGGTCCTTATCCAGCTCTTCCTGGTCATTATCCAGATTTTCCTTGTCATTATCCGGCTTTTCCGGGTCCTTATCTGGCTTTTCCTGGTCCTTATCCGGCTCTTCCTGCTCCTTATCCCGATTTTCCCGGTCCTTATCCGGCTTTTCCGGGTCCTTATCTGGCTTTTCCTGGTCCTTATCCGGCTCTTCCTGGTCATTATCCAGATTTTCCTCGTCATTATCCGGCTTTTCCTGGTCCTTATCCGGCTCTTCCTGGTCATTATCCCGATCTTCCTGGTCCTTTTCCCACCTTTTCCTCATCATTATTCAACTTTTCCTGGTAATTATCCCACTTTTCCCGGTCCTTATCCCAGCTTTTCCTGGTCCTTATCCCACTTTTTCCTTGCCCCTATCCCAGCTTTTCCTCATCGTTATCCCACCTTTCCCTGCTCCTTTTCCTGCTTTTCCCGGTTCCTTTTCCCACTTTTCCCTGCTCCTTATCCCGCCTTTCCTGCTCCTTATCCCGCCTTTCCTGCTCCTTTTCCCGCCTTTCCCTGCTCCTTTTCCCACTTTTCCCGGCTCCTTTTCCCGCCTTTCCCGGCTCCTTTTCCCGCCTCTCCCTGCTCCTTTTCCCACTTTTCCCGGCTCCTTTTCCCGCCTCTCCCGGCTCCTTTTCCCACCTTTCCCTGCTCCTTATCCTGCCTTTCCTGCTCCTTTTCCCGCCTCTCCCTGCTCCTTTTCCCACTTTTCCCAGGTCCTTTTCCCGCCTCTCCCGGCTCCTTTTCCCGCCTCTCCCGGCTCCTTATCCCGCTTTTCCCGCAGCCAAGCCGCGGCTGGACGTGCAGAGCTGCCCGCCGCAGCAGAACTGGACGGAGGGGCAGGAGGGGACCCTGCTCTGCCGGGCCCGGGGCGCGCCCGAGCCGCGGGTGACGTGCCACAAGGCCGGGGACTCGCTCGAGGCCGGGGCCGCGCGCCGCGCCCACCGCGCCCACGCGGGCACCTACGTGTGCCGGGCCACCAACGAGCTGGGCACGGCCGAGAGCCGCGTCACCCTCTGGGTCCACTGTGAGTCGGGGCTCCCGGGGCTCGGGGGGTTCGGGGAGTTCGGGCTTCTGGGGGTCTTGGGGGT